TTCTCCTCCTCAGCCACCTCCGCGTCAACCGAGGAGTCGTCCGGTCGCAGAGATTGAGCACTGCCTTTCACGCTCGTCTCGTCAGTGTTTGTGGAGGAGGGAGGGTGCTGCTGAAATGGAACTATACCCAAACAGATACTCAGACAGTAAGTTCACTACATTTCTCCTCTCGGCATCAAGATTAAACAAGAATTGGCCCAGTTCCTTGATCAATATAAACTGTCTGTTCATGTTGAAAGTACAAGGTGAAATCGGAGTGGATAATGCCAAATCCAAAGTGGCCTGGTAAGTGCCTTCCCTGTCGTCTATTCTCATGCGCAAACGAGAACGCCAAGTCTTCCAAGCATCATTTTATTAACCTGAATCAACCGTAATGCTGCCCTCATCTACAGCAGAACAGGGAAATGAGGAACCTGAGATAAGAACAAAACAATGATAATATTATCAAACTCATTACAAAGAGACGTCTGACGTTTCATATTTAGTAATTTTCAACGGTTGGCCCGATATGATCATAAAGCACAATATTGTGGAAAACATCCCCTTACAGAGCTTGAACAGTTGATTCTGACCAAACGAAAGCAAGTCAAAATACCGCAAGTATACATGGGAGAATTTTGTTATTAATGACTTACTGTTGTAGCATGCATCGCGAGAAAGGAAGTCATTTTTCTCCAGCTTCATCTGGAGGTAGCGAATACGGTACTCAACAATCTTTCCATTTGGCCGATTCGGTGGATTCCACAGGAGTTGAATACTCGTGGGACCTGCGGATATGGCTCGCAAAAATGTCGGAGTTGACGGAGCTGCGAAAACAGAAATTATACCTCGATACTTTGAGCAAGGACTACAGATAGATCGAATAAAGTTTGCGGTGCAATTTCATCAATCCCAATGACGCCAAAAGTGAATGATACAGAATACGTCAATCGTTGCCATTGTGTTTATCACGCAACCTAGCCCCATCCATCAAACAAGGCACGAGATAAGCTCCACGAGAAACATGGGTGTGCATATTAGAGGGTGTTAACCTTTCTGTTCGTTCATTAACGCATTCATTGATAATCCTACAAAAAACAGCAATCTCTGGATCTTGTGGGGGAAAAACTTTAGATAATGCAATAGAAAACTTTCTTTAATAGTAAGTTGGCGTATGAAGTGGAGCCATATCACGATTCCACAAACACTATCGATAGTTCTAATCATAACTTTTGACCTCTGATCGGCAACTCTGCCCTGCCACAATCGTAATGCGTCTAGTGGAATAAACACACCAGAAAAGACCATGGTGAACACGAATATCCTCACATGGCGATCATCTTGCGCCCTTAAGGTGGAGGCGCACCCTGAACGTGTGAAACCCTGATCACACGTTCACAATATTGACGATAACGAATGCCTTCACCCAACCCTGGAACTGTACGTCTCTAAAGATCGCCCAAGCGCAACACCTAAACCCTATACGTAGGAAAGAGAATGTGATTATGGAGGAATGCGTACTCGCGGGCTTCGTAGTGAAGTGGAAGCGTCGACTTTGGGCACCCTCGTGTTTGCTTAGCGTAGCGATTGTTATGAAAGCGGAGTAGGTGGTTGCAGGAGCGAGATTATCCAGGAGACAAGTTAAAATCTCTTCCCCAACTCCACCTCCCCCACCTACAACGCTATGAGATCCGCGTGATGGTGACGAGGCAGTTCGAAATTGCGATGAAGAAGCTCCATGTGTTAATGATGAGGGAGACTGGGGGAGACCACAGTTTAGCTCTACCTCATTCCATCTGAAAGGTGATGCATTGGTACCGTCGTATTAAATAGTATTTATTGTTTGGGGAGGGGATCAATGCTTTCTGATTCGCTTGAGAAGTACACGAAAGATAGTAAAAAAAGCAATACAAGATCTCAGCAAACGCGCATTTACTGACCAAACTTGCACCATATCTACCAGCAAAAAATCAAGCTAAGATACTGAACGGCGATAAACAACTTATCCACGATATTTTAGTGGGGACCGTCACTGACAGACATAAACATGAAATTGGTTTCACCCATAATTGCAGATAAACTGTATAACGCTACACTGAAAGCAAGTAGCAGCCGAAACAGTGCAGAAAACCTTGATCTCTTCAGGTTAGCAGACCAAAGGCAACTAGTGTAGGAATTAACAAAGGAGAGGACTCATGATCTGTGAAGCGCAACCATAGGCATGGTGTGAAAGCTCAAACATCACAGGAAATTTCAATATTAACGCATTGTGTAAGAGCTTCGACCATGAAATTTGTCAAATTTACAGGGATTTGAATAAATGTTCGGCGTTTTCTAATGAGGCGCGTCATATAACTAGTACTACCTCATACACGCCGTCGGAAGGCTCATGATTATTCCAGTTAACAGCTAGCATACACTATGAGTTGATGGCATGCGGTTAAATAGCACCTAATCCAGGTGACATAAATGCATGGAACTCCAAGTCAATGTCAAAAAAGTTTCAAGACTTGCGCGCTATCACAGAAGGTGTGGTCATAGATATCCGAATCCCAAACGCGATTTTCACTAAATTAAGCAACAAAAAACAATACTGTAAGCATGATAAAAAATTCTAAAGATATGGGTAGAAGAGTAAACCAACCTTCTGCCGTAAGAAATTATGGCGGGAAGGATTTGCCTCGGATCATTCCATGCCATACGATTCATCCTCAGAGTGACGCTATTCTGCAGCTCTTCAACAACGGTCACATTCAGAGGTTTAGCGTTACCTAAATCGACAAACATAGTCCGAGATTTCCCCAAAATAGGGTTGGTCAGACCACTTTTCCTCATTCAGCTCACATAGTGCATATTCTCCATTTGAGGTGTTGATGAGATCAAGTTCAGAGGGAGTGAGCTCTCGCTCCGTCACAAGGACAACTCTTTCGTTGAGAAAATTCTGGATCTTATCCGGACAAAGACGGTTATTAGCGCTGAATTCGACACTCCCGGAGAGGATCTCTAACTTGGGTGAACCTGGAGGGAGAAACCATAGGTCCTCCAAATTCCCGTTCCATGTGATCTCTAGAGCAGTGCTGTAAGATACCGATGGAATCATTTGCAAGCAACTCATTATAATCTTTCGAAAAGGTGGTCAGACATATTGAAAAAAATTAGTCAGACCATTCATTTTCAAGGGTACTCATGGAAGGCAGACTCGAAATACTTTCCATCGATGTTCAACCCGGTAATAAGAATGAAAGTCGAGTAGCAAAAGATGCGTGAAGAAATAGAGACTTTGACTATAATAACTTAAATGGTGAGTCAGAAATAAAAGTTAAATTTAGAAAAGAAAGTTATATCATAGGAAGAGAGATAAATTTATATATCATTAGCAATAACAAATAGCCGCAATCAAAATGATTACAACCAACCAAAGCTCAATGAAACACTTTTGGTGTACCGGTTCCTTGACAATCTGCCCTTTGCATTGTAACTCAGTGCGATTAATCAACAGACTTACTAGTAAAAAAAGACCAGAACATTTCGTAGTCGTCCAAATATGCAAACATACATGGAAGAATGTGGCGGTTCAACAGAAGTCACCAACCCATCCTTAACAATGGGTTCAGTACCGTGAATTTTCTTTAGGTGATGAAGGAATGAAAGAGAGAGCAGAGCATCAGAGCGGATGACCCTCAGAGAGCGGTATATGACACGCAGGCTGGAGAAGGCCTCAGCAAGGGAAGTCGACAGATCATCTGCACAAAAAGGCATCGTTTGAACGAAAAATCAGTGGTATGGAAAAATCAGACATGGGAGAAGAAGCTTAGGCATACCTTGGCCTGTTCGAATACTGATGAGCACAGATCGAGCACTGAGGCAATCCTTCACAGAGGCTAGGTCAGCCTGCTGATAAATGACGATGTCGCCACAATCTACCAAGTAATCAAGCGGTCAGCGAAGAAACAGCCTACCACCAGGTAAACTAAGATTAGTAGAGGGCTCACCTCTTTTTACATCCTCACAGTCCGCATCACAAGGACAACATTCCCCAGAGGGTGAACGACGAAAACCCGGGTCACAAACAGGAACACATGTTCTCCCTTGAATAGAAAAGCCGGTGGAATGAAGACCCGCTTGTCGAAGGATGCATGGAAAGAGGTCCTCTGGAACAGGTTTTGACAAACACGCATCCCTGGTCACGCAGTACCGACCGTAGAGCTGACAGTGAAGAAGACAATGGTTTACATCGAACCCTCAGCTTCCGTCCACTGTTTTACAATGCAAACAATTAAAGTAATCAATTGTTTACAATTGCTTATGGGAATTTGATACGATTTTCTATTTACTTTGTGAATCTGATAATGCGTATACACCTAGATGGGCAAAAACGGCTAATAAAAACTTTAGCTTTAGTCAAAGTTACCGTATTATTAATGTAAACCGCAATATTTAGCTACCTCAAATAATCCATCAGGGCAAGAAGAAAGACACATATTATTGTAATGAAAATTCCGACAAATGAGGCAGTCTCCTGCTGTAGGGCCTGTACAGCCACCCAAACAATTCGGATGACAACACTCGCTGGTATTCTGCATCGAACAACTCAAGGACGCATCGCGACATTTAGCGTTGCAAACTAAATCAAAAGCGTGAAGGTTAGGCGCATATTCACAGCCTAACTAGAAAACAATTCCGAAATTTACCGCGTTGACAATGATCTTGGGACCAACAAAGAGATCGGGGCAAATTGTTCATGGTGACCCACTCGCAATTTGCTGGACAGGCATTAGCACACAAGTCAAAGAGACCCTCTTTGCGCAATAAATCTTGCCCCAAAACGCTGCCACCACTCCGACTTGTCATGCTACTGTTAAAGGTGAGGGGCTTAGAGGGAGGTACTGAAGGAGTGAGAAGATGCCAACCAACAGTGTCTGTGTAGCACATTTGCGGATTGTCTATCAAAAGCACTCCATGTTTCCCCAGTACTCGAAGACACCGAAGACCAATGCCTGAGAGAGCCGTATGGTGAATGAGAAGTGGAGAAGGAGAGATAGCAACTTTGCCATCAACAAGCAATTGAGTAGGGGAAGGTAAAATCCCATGGATAGCAATTAGATTTGGTAGAAAGTAAGAGAGATCGCCTTTACAGCTGGAATGTTCTATAGTCAGAGAGCCGAAAATTTGAAAAAGTCTTGGGAGACTAAGACCGTTTGGACCGCATTGGGTGTTCGATAAGCCAATGATAACTAGGTTTCCACTTATTTCTGTACAGTTAATAAGGGGATCCAAGGACTGGGACCGAGTCAAATCCAAAACGGAACTTTGACATTCTGCAAAGACAGTTAATTTGGCCATTAAGATACATGCCAAGTTCTTAAGTAACTGCATTAAGGACAATGAACAGAACAGTATTGTTGCCAAGCCAACGTGGCAAGTCAAACATTATGCCAAAGGTTACACCGAAATCCCCTACACAAAAAAACTCTCGCATCGTCAATCCGATATTTGAACGACTGATAAGAACAGTGGCTATAATAAACAATAACATTATCTAATAGCAGCATAAGATTAAAACAACGCTTAAAAGCTATTTGCCATTTGGTCCAAGAGGTTTGTAAATAGAGTCGTGAGTTTCAAATACGAGAGGAAACAAACCCAGTTCTTCATAATCTTTTGGAGAGGCACACTCATTGTCTGTAGCGGAAGAGATGCGACCAAGTATGTATGCATACATCCAAAGCGAAAACACATGGATATACTGCATCGGTATCAGGTAATAAGGAAAGCTAATTGTCAAGCGTGGACCAAGATGACATCGAAGACTGCTTCGCAAAGCATAGCAAATATGCATGCATCAACTAATCACATATTTTAGTAGCATATTCAAATAAATAAGGGAATCTTTTGCTTATAACAGTTGGCCTTCTAGGTAACTTAATCAATCATATTTAAGATAATTTGTAAATGCACCAATATATCTCTGCTGCTTTTTCCGTGCAGTATTAATCGACGACGTCTAGTCAGATTTTACTTCTTTTCCCAATGAACTATTTAACGCAGAACCCAATCAACCGACACAATTATATGGTTTCGTAAATACTATCACACAAGTTTGTGTCGAAAACCACTCTTTATGCAATACTTTGTTTGACCGTCGCTATAGATGGTGAGATAAAAAAATGCCGTTACTTTGTGCC